GAATTTAGTATTTGGTCATCTGAACGCGGGCGGAGCCGCGGGCAATGCTAGTAATCTATATTTTATGAACATTATTGGATTTTTTATTATAAAAGTCATTAAACAAACATTGTAAAAAAATATATTATATTGTAAAAATAACATATAACATAACAAACATAAAACACTTCCATTTTTTCCCTTTGCTTTAAAGAAATTTTGATGCTTTAAGGAGAAGGTACGGAAGAGCTATAATAAATATTATAAGTAATTAATTTTATGATAAACAAATGTCACATAAAATATACGTAGAAGATTTTGGCCAGTGCCCTTTGAAATGAAAATATAAATAAATTATTCCAAGACATCTAGATTACTAGATGATGCAATTTCGCAGATTATCTCCGGTGCTATAATTTCTTGAAGGCGACTTCTAACTACTCGTAGTCAGTTTCGAGCTTTAATATTAAATGAAATACGAATAAATCAACGGTTGAATATAAAAATATAAGCGATTTCTAAACTTAATTATGTTTCTATTTCCTAGAGGTTTTTAAAAGTTTGGATAAACCTATTTTTAGGGTATGAACTATGAACATAGGTTTTGAAATCATAATGGCAACAACGTTGGTGATAAAATCTATATATACAATAAAATTCTAACCTAGTCTTTTGAAAAATCTTATTGAAATAGTCATTATTATTTATTTTTATCAATACAAAGACCGAATATATAGTATTAGAATTTTTGTCTATCTGTCTGTCTGTCTGTCTGACTGTCTGTCTGTCTGTCTGGAATACATCACGAGAAAACTGGACAGATTTTGCTGAAATTTGGTATGATGATAGACTTGCAAAACGTTAGCTTATTGCGATAGAGTCCTTTACAATTTATATTTCACAAAAATCTACCGAGCCATATCTAAAGTAAATTTAAATGTATACAGTCAAAAGAACTTTAACTGTAAACACGATGCTTCTTTATTGGTTTACCTAATTAAATCGTTTGGCTCGTGACTTAGATGTAATGTAAATATGGAAAATATATAGAACTTTTAATTATTTTTATCCAGCCTTTTTTATCTTTTCATTGCTGGTCACGAGCCTCATTCAATGCGAGGTCGACCAGGCCATTGTCCTAAAGACAAGTTGAAAATAATTTGCACCTCAGAAAACCGAACTCACTTGTTCGGAAACGGGCGCTATAATAAAAAATAATAATATATTATCTACAATTTTATCCAGATATATATATATATATATATATATATATATATATTTATATATACATACGTATTAGTGCAAAAAACTAAAAATATATTATAAACTTTGCGCTGTAAATCAGACGAACGTTTGCACAAACATTATGAAAGAGAGTCTACAATTTTATTTTATTTTACAGCAACATAGCTAAAAATTATCCGCACTTCCTGAAGTAGCTGTTAAGCTGTAATTAAGTTTATCTAACAGTAACAAGAGCGGCAAATGTGATAAAAATATTTCTTCTCTTAATATAAGAAAGCTATAATATTTTAAGTACTTAATTACCAATAAATTTACTTAATATTTGCGTACTTGAAAATATTCGCCGTAATATATATCTATAACCCATGTGTACCAATGTTGAATGATGTGGAAATTTGTGATTTTGTTATTACTACAGCAAAATCGAAAGTGCAAAAATCTTGTCCACGTGAAATATTTTTATGAAAATTATAAATTAAAAAAAGATATATTTTGGAATTGGATTATATAAAGACTTTTTGCTAAAAAAGATACATTGACTTCAAAGTCATTTATGATAAACTAGCAGAACCTACGGCTTCGTTCGTGCTAAAACTACAAAAACACCTCTAAAAAGATAGGTTTCTTAAAAACATTCATCCCCTATTTTACCCTCTTAGGGGTTGAATTTTGGAAAACGCTGAAATACATAACTCATTATTTTTGCCGTACTCAATTCATACGAAATTTCATACAAATATGTCCTGGGAATAAAAAGTTTCATACAAACTTTCATCTCTTATTTAACTACCTTGGGGGGTGAATTTTTAAAATCCTTCCTTAGTAGATGCCTTCGTCATATGAGGAATATATGTGTGAAATTTCAATTTTCTAGCCTTAAGGGTTTGGCCTGTGCGTTGATACCTCAGCCAATCACTTTTGCCTTTTATATAAATAAATTATATCCACTTCTTAATAAAAAAAAATTTAATATATAATGGATCACCCTCAAAGTTATTTTTTTTTATGACGCTGGGGAAACCTTTCATGGGGACTCTGCCGGCCGTCAATGGGCAAGGTATTGTGAGACTCCTTACTCACTAAAACCCACAGCGGAACCCATCGCCGCAGTGCAATGGGACGTTGCAGAATCGCTTGCGCGCACACTACAACACCCCTGTGGACCCTCAAAATTATATAACTTAACCTATTTATTAAAAAAAGAGTTATAAAGTCGATTGCTTGCGAAGATATCACGTGACATACACACAAAAAATAAAAAAATAGCCATAATTAGTCCTACTTCACTTTTTGAAGTCGGTTATTACATTTCATTAAGTTAAGAAAATCAATACCATTATTACAATTTGAACACGTACTTAATCTTTACTAATATTACGTAGACAAAAGATTGTTTGTTGGCTTATCCTTCCTTAACAGAACAACGTATGATGAACTGGAAACTTAATCCCAGGGTGGCTCTCTCGGGATACAGGGATATTACAAAAATCACTACATGGCTTGTTATACTACTGGTACAAGTATGAAAGTTTGAATGTGTGTACTGTGTATGTGTGTTTATTACTCCTTAACATTGAAACAGCTGGATAGACTTGCATGAAATTTAGTATACAGATAAATTATGATTGGTACCGATAGGCATCTACCCCCCTCCTCCTCAATCCTCTCCCAATGTCGATCACCTTCTCGATGGTGATTAAAGGGAGGGGGGGAGGGGGGTCTATTTGCGTTCAGTTTAGCCGAGCGCGAAGCCAAGAAATACACTGGCAGTTGGCCCACGTCGTTGGGTGATGTACCATTTTGGTTGCTTAGCTAGCACTTCTCTGACGGCAGAGTGGGCCGTTGAAGTAACCGCACGGTTGTTGTGGCATAGCTACATCGGAAGATCTGCCATCGAGGCGTCGTAGTTCAATACATAGCGATCCTGAGATGCCCCATTAAGGCGGTGTAGGTTTTGTTGGGTTTTAGTAAGGAGTACTGGCTTTTCTAGCCGGTGAGACCCACATAATCACCTGTAAGTTTACAGGCGATGTGCGCAAATGCATTTCCTAACGAAACGAAAATACGTTGCTATCATATAATAAATCCCTGATTTCTAGCTGAAATATATTTATTTTATATTATTGATATAAATTATTACAGTTGCATTAATTACTTTATGAATGTAATTAATAATTTTTCCAGTAACTTGGATTAAACATGTCAAAGGACATCAAAATATGCGCTTTATGTATATTTAAACCGACGTGCAGTAGTTTCCGGTAATTTCGATTAAACTCAGAACTAATTTCCTATATTTGGAATGGATCGGACAAACTGTTTGCGGCATATGGGAGTCAGTTGAAGCGACCACTTTGTTTCATTTAACTGGTTCAAGTTGCATTTAACTTATATAATTTTAACTGTACGTTAATTAATGTAGTAAAGAATTAAATGAGTTAACAGTTTTGTAAGCAATAAAGAAACATGTATGTATCTTGATATATATTCAATGCTATTTTATTTATGACTAGCTACTCACCCTTGCTTTGCATGGGTTCGTTCCTAGGTTGTTTCTCCATATAAGATTTCATCCTCGTTTTTACCCTTTAAAGCAAATTTTCGGGATAAAAACTATCCTGTCATTTCCAGGTTCTCAAACTATCTTCTTACCAAGTTTAATCTGAATCGGTTCATTGTTTTCGGAGCCTATTCGATACAAACAAACAAAAACAAATTTTTCCTCCTTATAATATTATAATAGATTAGAAAAGTATATAAACAAAGAAGTAGTATAGACCAAAGTATTCACCGACGATAATTAAAATGTGACCTGTGATTGATCAAGATGTAGTCAGTACTGTAAACTAGTATCGTTTAGTCTATAAAGAGAATATTTAATGTAATTGTGTAACGTCTCAAATCGTCATCAAAATTATAAGTATTATTTCTAATCAAAATATTTAATAATTAAACGACCCTTCAATCTATACTAATATTATAAAGAGGCAGAGTTTGTTTGTTTGGACGCGCCAATCTCAGGAACTACTAATAATCCATTTTGAAAAATTCTTTTTGCATTACATAGCCCGTTTATTGAGGAAAGCTACAGGCTATCTTATTATCCTATAGTATATAGTCTATCTATTCCATACTAATCGTTAAAAAACGCATAGGGATGAACCCGAGCGTAGTGAGGATGAGTTGCTAGTTTATTATAACACGAAAAGTCCAAAAACTATATTTATGTTATGTCCAGCTTCAGATAGATAAACAAGTTGATTGAGATTTCAAATACGAATCAGTTAGTTAAAATTTTAGTTCCAACACAAATATTTTCATACAACAGCGAAATGACTGTAGTAACAACAATTTCTATAACACTTATGAACAAAAACCATATTTTCGTTGCCTAGTTTGTACAATTCATTGTAAGTCATTGGGAGTCGAGGCACGCGCCGACTATTATTCGACATCCGTGCGAGAGCCGTAAATCGCATTTTTGTTCAAGAAACCTTAATTATTCGCAACATGATGGATATGGTCCTTGTAGTTTACTGAATATAGCCTCTCATATAGGCTTTTGAAATTTTCGCATGGAGGAGTACAGATCAAATTGGTTTTTAACTAAGATTCACCAACTCCTAAATCCTTATATCTAAATCTAATATCTATTATCTAAATCTTGTTATTCCTCATCAATTATGATGTATGAAATTTTATTTGCTCTCAATTTTGATTTATTTTTCCAAATAATTTTTAGAAGAGAAAGATTAAAATTTTAAATTTTCTTTCAGAAGAGCTCGAAATTCTTCAGCCGCAACAAAAACACTACCAGCGAGTGCATTGAAATCATGCATCACCCAATCTACCGCATCTTCTACGTGTCGCACGACAGTTCTGATCTCAAAATCTTCTCGTACATAGCGAGAGATGGAGCCACCAATGTTTTCAAATGTAACGTGTTCAAGAGCAGCAAGAAGGTAAGCATTTTAGCACAGATACAAACTAATCTTTGAAAGTAAAGAGTTTTAAATAAAGACATTCTCAATTTAGGTATACAGTCCGTTGTGTTCATACGATATGTACACCGATAAATATATTGTCAGAATGTTATTACTTAAAATTATTAAATTAAAAAAAAAATGCCACACATAATTCGTTATTATTTATATCGTAATTTAGTAATTTTGTAGCAATTTTCACTTTTTTTTATTAATATTTATTTTCAAAACTAAAATTATGAAAATAATATGGTACATGTGTCTGCGACATATTTTGTTAATATGATAAATATTTAATATCACGCTTTATCCTTGCCGCAAGAATACTCGTATGTCTCCGACTGCATAATACAATATTCCATCGTGAACTTGTTTTTTATCTTTTTAGTTAGCTTTTATGCAGTCGGTTTTTTTTATTTTTATAATATATTTATTTATTTACAGTTTTTTAAGTATTATTAAGTAGTTTAACTTAACTTTAAATCATTATACATCCTAAATTGTTATTTAAAATGAGAAATGATAAAAGAAATCTAAAAAAGGTTTTTAAATACCTATTCAACGATACCCCACTTGACATAGTTCGTCAATTTTTTTTTTCTCGTTATGAGATCTAGCAGCCCCCATATTTTTATATCACCTATCTTAAAACACTTGGACTAATGAGACAAATCTAACGATACCTTAATTAAAGAAATCCATCAAGTGATTTGAAAGATATGAAGGAATAAAGAATATTACAAAAAAACATACAAAGATAGGTGCGAAAAATATAACCCTCTCCTTGCAGTCGGGTAAATATATATACTATATAAATATAGTACATCTGTCTGCGACATATTTTTTGAATTTGAGATTCAGCGAGGGTATTCTCTGGTTAATCACATTTTACGCTTGACGTCGTCGGAGGCTTTGTCAAGACAAAAGGTTGACGTTTTTCTTCTAGGCTAATTTATTTTTGTATTAATATATATTTTTATAAAATATATTACAGTGCTAGTTTTATAAAAACAAGTTTTGGTTAAAAATAATTTTAATTTCTATCCTAACTATAGACTGCCATAAATATATATAGGTAAACTATCTAGTTCTTCAGATTTATATTAGAAAACTAGCTACTCAACCTCGCTCCGCTCGGGTTCGTCCCTAGTTATGTTTTAGCGTTTAGTATAGATTTCTCAGAGATGAGATATTTTTCCGCAGTAAAAAGTGTCCTAAATGTTGACCCGGATAACCAGCTATCGTCATACTACAAAATTTCATCTAAAACTATCCAGTTGTTTTGGCGTGATGCGTTCCCATACAGACAGACAGACAGACAAAAAACTATAGATTGGGCCTCTGTATCGATAATAATTACTATTTCAATAAGAATTTCCAAAAAATATTTAATGTACAGATTCGACTCAGAATTTTATTAAATGTATAGATAATATTAAGGGCTCAAAGTAATATTAATAATTCATTTCTCAAAAACACAATAGGTGATAACTAAACATAATCTAAGATTTAAAAATATTAAAGCATTACTAATTGACTAAGATTTGTTAATTAGTAAATGAGTAGTTTTCTTAATTTTCTTTAAAAGCTCTTTAAAATAACTTCTTAGGCCGAGTTAAATTCATTGCTAAGTAAAGGCTTAGCAAATGTACTTGTTTAGCAATGTTCTAACGATCACAGTTTAAGTAAATATGTAGACTGTAATTCAGTATATACTCTCTTTAAAAACGAAGCTAAATCTGAGCTATTGCTTTGTTTAGAGTGTATAGATATTTGGGAGCTTAACATTATTTAGGTAAGCTTTCTAGGATTTAATAGGTGATTTTGCAGAGAAATTATTAACGAATTCTGTTTTAAAGAACCAGAATGGCGTTCATTCTCACAATAATGTTGGTGAAATGCCAAAATTACAAAATGTGGATCTTTTAGGTAGGTGGGGCAGGTTTCATTAACTTTATATTCCAGAAAAGATAGTATAGAGTCTTCCGGGAAAACTAGCGTTTTACTAAAATAAATCTTGATTTTAATTTGCGATGAAAGTTTATGAAGAAAACATCAAAGAATTTTTAAGAATTTTGTTTTAAAACGTTCGTAGATAAATATAGGGATGTATTTAAGTATGGACTTTTTTAACTCTACTAAGCTCTAAAATTATAAGTTAAATACTAGCTGTACAAGTAATATAGGTAGGTACATAAAATAAAACTACCTTTAAGTTAAATATTCGCATTAATCTAGAAAAATATTTTATAGGTACATAAGTTATTAAGGGTAGTTGAAAAATAGATATATGTTTGTACCAGTGGCATATATTACAGATTTTGATGAAATTTGATAGAATGATAGCTGGTTATCCGGGTCAACATATAGGATGCTTTTTACTGAGGGAAAATATCTCATCTCTGAGAAATCTATACTCAACGTTCCGAATCCGAGCGGAATGAGGGTGAGTCGCTAGTATTGTATAGGAATAATAAAGAAAATAATATAATATACATTGTACAGTCATACTAATAACTGTTGTATTTGACTGATATGTCATGGCTTTCTTGTTTTGTTTTATAGAGTTATCTACAAGATACTTTACAAGTTTATAAGGTATGGAATTTTAGCTATTTGCTTATACTAATGTTATAAATGACTTGTTTATTTATTACTTGCCATTCGCAACACGCATATATAAATCATACCTTCGATAAAAACAATCTACTTGTTATTCAAAAAACACCTTTAATACATACGAAGCCGCGGGCAGTGATTTGTAATTAATTTAAACTTAAAAACATCTGTACACTTTACGAAAAATAGGTACTTTTTAAAACACATAGTAAATTACGTTTTATAGTCAAAATAAAGAAAAATTGTAATTTCGAGAGCTGGTATTATATGTAGGTCGGACGATATTGTGTTTTTAAGTTACAGTAGGATATTTTCCATGTCCATGGTAATTTTATTTGAATGATGTATATGTTACCAAACAGCAAGATTAATTTCGACATGTGCCAGTCCGAATGTATGTACTATGTGTATGTATGTATGTACTAAGTTTTTATTATACATAGTACAAAATTAAAAAAAATACTTATTATTTATTCCCTATGACACTAAGTTAAATCAAAATATGATAACTATTCTAAAAAGTTTCTGAAATAACTTTTACGAAAGGACTAAAAAAATATATTAAAATGAAACATAATTAAATAAAAATATAATTCTCGACGGAAATAGTAGAAAAAACTAGTTTTGTTTAAAGTTATTCTTAATGATCATGCAAATTTTAAAGAGCTTGGTATTAGCCAAATTAATGTTCTAGGTAAAATTAAGAGCACATTCATAATTCATTTTCACTATTTTCATAACAAAGAATGAAACACGTTTGTTAATTTGCACGTTTATACGTGTTTTATATGTATATGAAACCTATCTACTTTGTGTATTAATAATATACTATTACTAGAAAAACAAAAACACATCTATCCCACGGGAACCGTACATTTTTCCGGGATTAAAACTAACCTATATGGTATTTTGACGTATGAGTTATATTATTGCAAAGTTTCATTAAAATCCATTCAATAGTTTTTGCGTGAATGAGTACACATCCATACATCTATACATCCAAACATCCATACATCCTCAAAAGCTTTCGGATTTTTAATATTAATAGGATTATCATTAAAGTACGGTACAAAATCTGGTTTAAAAAAGTACAAGTAGTAGTCTAACATACACGTGATATTTTCTCACAACGAATATGCAGTAAGCTTTTGTTAAAAAAGTGCAAGCCGTATTCCAATTTAGATCGTGATTTTCGTAGCTGAGCTTATATAAGGCAAAAAAGTACATTTTTAGGGTTCCGTACCCAAAGGGTGCTAACGGAACTCTATTACTAAGCCTCCGCTGTCACCGTCGCTGTCTGTCAGAGGGTTGTATCTCATGTAGGTAGAGAGATGACAAAGTATGTATGTATTTCTATTGCCGCTATAACAACAAATAATGACAATTTATACATATAATAAAATTGTAACCAAGCCGAATCTGTATATTAAATATGTTTTGGAAAATCTTATTGAAATAGACTTTGTTATCGGTGTAGAGGCCGAATCTATAGTTTTTAGAATTTTTGTCTGTCTGTCTGTTACCGCATCACAGAAAAAGCACTGGATGGATTTTGATGAAATTTCGTATGGTGATAGCTAGTTATCCGGGTCAACATATAGGAAACTTTACTGCGGGAAAATATCTTATTTCTGAGAAAAAATGCAAAAACTGCAATGTAAGTGTATACTAATCTGTAAAACCTAAGAATTTGGTTTTTGGTCATTTGAACGTATGCGGAGCCGCAGGCAATGCTAGTAATAAAATAAAAATACAAGATTTTTTTTTTACGTTCGTAATCGATCATCGATGTTAATATACTACACACAGAGTAAAAATCATATTAATTTCGTATGCGAATTCGACTCGCACTTAACCGATTTTTTAACTTATGTTTGGCTGAAATTTTTTTAGTCCATGGTTAAATTTTTCATGCGGATATCTTCTAATATCCTTTTCAATACAAAAAAGAAAGAAAATGAAACATATTTTTCTTTAGTTTATTTATTAATTACCTGATTAAAAAGTAACATTGATATTGTATAGATTATAAGTGTTCGTGTACGCTATTTATTAATTTCTACGAAAATTTCTTAAGTCAGTACGCTGAAAATACACGAGGCCTCTTCTTCCAGGAAATCAAATGAGACAAAAAAAAAGCATTTTATATATAGAAACTTTTATTCTTAAAATATCATGATTCGAAACGAGATCATCTAACGTAACTAACGTTGACGTAGACAGGGTCATGAGTGTCTTATAAAGCTTTCGCATACACTCTACGTTCTATCTTTATGTAAAGACTGAAATGAAATGAAATGAAATGAAATATTCTTTATTGCACACCATTATTTTACATTATATAGTTGAAACAGATTAAAGGAATAAAGTACAATAGGCGGCCTTATCGCTAG